TTTGTTTCTTGCACTTATGTATTTGCGATTTAGTTTTTTAGTTCTAAATTCTCTTGCCAAGGGCGTTCACACACTTAGCCGTCCGCCTTCTCTCCCCCCCCCCCCCCCACACCACCCCTTGTAAGGGCTTCGCTTGAAGGGGCAGGGCCCCTCCTTCCTGGGGGCTTGCTTCAGGAGCCTTCCTTTGTAGGGACTTGCTTTTAGGGTCATAAAGGGGTGCCTGTTTCAGGGCCTTCCTTCAGGAGTTTCCGGGATAGATTTCAAGGCGGGACTTCAGGGGCAAACCTGTGGCTGCTGATGGGGCCGTCTTGGCTGAAGGAGTCCTTGAAGGTTCATGGGACTTAAGAACCACTTATAACTGTACTTACAACCCTAGTTATAATTGGGATAACCCCTACAAGGCCCTTTAGGGGTATTATAAGTAGGGGTATAAGTACAGTTATAATTGGTTAGTAAGTCCCATGAACCTTCAAGTAACTGTTTTGGAGCATTGGTGCGCCTTGGCTTGAGGGGCGATTTTGTTTGCTGATCGGTGCGTCTCGGCTGAGTGTGATGCAGGTCTTCAATTTCACTGAAGCTGCCGTACATGTTAAAGTATGTATATGTGTTGATAGGTATACCTTAAATAGTGTTGCATTTTTCAACTAATTTAATGATGTACCTAGCAGGAATTTCGTGGTGATGTAGAACCGACTAATGGATGGGTGGGCAATGTTTTTCGCGTAGTGGTTTAGGGTTTGGGTTCGGGGATGCCAAGCCTGATACTGCAGGGCTTCGGGGTGGAGCAGCTGGGTCTACGGCATCGCCAGACTCTGGGGTACCCTAGACCCTAAACCCTGATCCCAAAACCCTAAACCGAAACCCTAGACCCTATAAACCCTGAACCCTGAACGAAGTCTAAGACCCTCCGAAAAGGCCCTAAAACATCAACCGCTCCAGCCATGCCGCGAGTTGTCTTTCACTGTGTTATCGCCTGGCCAATGTTCGAGGCTTAGGTTTTCGGCTTTAGGGCAGCTGCTCTGAGCTTAGGTTTCGGGTTTAGGGTTTAGGGTTTAGGGCTCAGGGTTTAGGGTTTAGGGTTTAGGGTTGAGGATTTCGGGTTTCGGGTTTCGGGTTTCGGGTTTCGGAGGGCTTAGGGTGTAGGGCTGTCGTGTTTGGGAGAGCAGTTCGCGGTCGGCCGAAACCCAGGCTGGCTGTAGCCAGTGACCTGCCCTGAGAATCGGTGAGCCTCAACCCAAAACACAAACCCTAAACCCTAAACTCCCTTCTAAGCTCTTTAAACTCCCGAAACTCCCCCCCAGACTCCCGAAACTCTCTAAGCCCTTAAATCCGGACCCCTGAACTCCCTAAGCGCCTGAACAAGACTACTTGGAGGTTCATGGGTAGTTAGGAGTAGGGTTAGAAGTATCGTAATTATACTGACAACCCTACATAGGGCACTTGCAACCCTACTTGTAACTACCCATGAACCTCCAAGTAGTAGCCCTGAACCCTAAACCCTAAACCCTAAACCCTGAACCCTAAACCCTAAACCCTGAACCCTAAACCCTACTTGTAGCCACCCATGAACCTCCAAGTTGCCAGAGCCCCCTGGCACACCCCCAAGGAGCCGCAACGAGCATGAAAGTGAGGAGGGCTCAGGTTTGGGATTTGCGGTTTGGGGTTTGGGAGGTTTAGGGCTCGGGACCCTAAACCCTACATCCTAAACCCTAAATCCTAAACCCGAAATCCTAAATCCTATCCTAAACCCTAAATCCTAAACCCTAAATCCTAAACCCTAAATCCTAAACCCTAAACCCGAAACTTTAGGGCCCCCCCAAATCCCTACAGTGTAGCGGGCTTTGGGCTTTTTGGATGTAGGGTTGTGAGCTATATTCATAGATAGAGATATATATATATACACATATATATATATACATATCTGTATATGGCTTTAGGTTCAGGGTTTGGGGATAGGGGAGGGTTTAGGATGCAGGGTCTAGGGAAAAGGGCGTAGGGGACAAGGGGGGTAGATTCTTTTAGGGTAGCAGGCTTAAGGTCCTAAATCCTAAACCCTAAACCCTAAACCCTAAACCCTGTCTAACGTGGCTCCTCCCAGTTATTTCAGCTGCGGCCGGGGTGCCGAAGTGGTTGTGGTGAGAGTTGTGGATTTGATTCCACTCATCCATACCTTAGCCCCCGAAACCCTAAACCCTAAACCCTAAACCCTAAACCCTAAACCCTAAACTGCAGAAACTGTCTGAACTGCCTGAACCGCTACACCCTGACCCCCCTCCTGAGCTCCCTAACGGCTACATCCCCCATACTTTCTAAAGCCCGAAACTGAAGGAGTTTGGTAAGGGGTTGAGGGATTAGGGCTGATTAGGGTTTAGGCTTGGTTTCGGGCTTAGTGTTGTGCAGAACTTCTTGAGGTGGTCGAGGGGGTTACCTTGCTGAGGCTGTTCTTGTGAGCCCTTCAAGAACACAAACAACACAATTGTTCGTCAGCCCTCTTTGGAAA